TAGTAAATACAAGAATTCCAATCAAAGGCTTTGCCAATCTGGCTGTAAACATTCCTTAAAGCTTCTTCAGCCTCTAGTCATAGTCAGAAGAACAGCCTTCTCTCCCAAAATGGAAGCCTGTTACAAACAGGAAGGTCTGAGAAATTCTGAGTAGCTCTATATATAGATACTCTTATATTCCTTCCCCAGCTCATTTCCAAAAAAATTACTAAATTTAAATCTAAGCTTTAAATGTGTATAGGATGTATATTATATGTGTGTACAAAGTATGTATTATCTCAAACTTTTTGTAGTACATTCTAAGTGTACAGTACAAAATCTAAGCTTGGTGATTGTGGCACACTCCTTTAATCCTAGCACTCAGAAGGCAGAGGCAGGTGGATCTCTATGAGTTCGAGGCCAACCTGGTCTACATACAGAGTGAGTTCCAGGACAGCCAGGGCTACAGAAAAACACTGTCTTAAAAAACAAAAACAAACAAAACAAAAAAGTACAAAATCTAGCAAGTATTGCTTCAAGGTAATAAAAAGTTCTAAAAATATTAACACATTTTTCAGCCATTAAACACTTCTCATATTGACCATTTTACATGGAAATCGGAAAACTGCACTAATATCTGGATTCCTAACTGTCACAGTCACCCCACCAGTATGCCATTTTCCTTCAGAGGTCATTGTTTCACATCCTGATCTTAAATTTCAGTGGTATAGAACAAAGCCCCCCCTTCTGTTCTTAATTCTGTGGCACTGCCATGCTCAGTCGACCGCTTGCTGTGCCCACTCCCACATAAACTAGTAAGGTAACTTCCCATCCTGTGAACACAGCATATATAATATACAACCTGATGAATGATGGCCTGAATGCACTCCTACTAGTTTCTAACATAATGCCTAAAGTTCTGATTTATAGTTGATCATTTATATAATGACGGCATCTTAGAATTTTAGACCAATAAAATGCGGTCTAAAACTATTTTTGTAATATTACAATATTTCTTTAATTTTTTGAGATTACGATATAATTACATCATTTCCTCCTTCCCTTTTCTCCTTCCAAACTCTTCCATATACACCTCTTTGATCTTTGCAAAATAAATTCATGACCTCTTTTTTCATTAATTGTTGTTACATACATATATTTATGTTCCTAAACATGTAAGTACAAACTGATCAATCTATATAATGTTACTTGTATATATGTGCTTTCAGGGCTGAACATGATATCAGATAACCAACTGGTATGCTCTTTCCATGAAACTATTTTTAATAATATTATTAATTCTTTGAGAATTTCATATAATGTATTTTGATCATATTAACCCCCTCCCCCAACCCCAACTCTCCCAGATCCACTCTCACACCCATGCCTACCCAACATTCTGTTCACTTTTTAATTTTTTTTTAAATCCATTCAGTCTAGTATGCATCCCCTAAATATTCTTGAGGGCAGGGTCAGCCTTGGAGAGAGTGGTCCACCTACCAGGAGTCATATCCTTTAAAAAAACTGAATTTCTCTCTCCAGGAAGCTGTAATTAACCAATAGATCTCTAGCCAAGGGTGGGCACTTCTTGCCCACCTCACCAGCCCATGTTGAGTGGTACCATCCCTAGGCTAGTGGTCCTGGATTCTATTAAAAAAAAAAAAAAAAAGCAGGCTGAGCAAGTTGGTAAGCAGCTCCCATGCTTCCATGGCCTCCTGCCTCCAAGATCCTGCCCTGTTTGAGTTTCTGTCCTGACTTCCTTCAGTGATGGACTATGGATACAAAAGTGTACGCCCCCTTTCCTCCCCAGCTTGCTTTTTTTTTTTTTTTTTTTTTTTTTTTTTTTTTTTGATTTTTCGAGACAGGGTTTCTCTGCGTAGCTTTGCGCCTTTCCTGGAACTCACTCACTTTGGAGACCAGGCTGGCCTCGAACTCACAGAGATCCGCCTGCCTCTGCCTCTCGAGTGCTGGGATTAAAGGCGTGCGCCACCACTGCCTGGCCCACAGCTTGCTTTTTGATCACGGTATTTCATTGCAGTCATGGAAACCTAACTAAGACAATGAACACCTCATGTTTTCTCTCATATGTGGATAGTAGATTTAATACTCTAGATATGCACATTTCATTTGGAATAGCCACAGGAATTAGAAAAACGGTGGGACAAAAAGATAGGGGATACAATGATATAGAGGGAAACAGGACAAATGGAACAGGGGTAATTAAAGGCGGCGGGAGGAGTGATAGCTAACACTGAAGTGCCCTGACTTTGAAGGACAAGGATGGAGACACTCCATCAAGCCTGCAGTACTTTCCTAATCCCAAAGGGAACAAGAGTGCAGTGTAAAAGCTTCCTGAGGATGTCTCACCAAGCAAGACTCATTCTAGTTCTTCTCCACCAGAATCACCGTCAGACAATCAAAGAGACTAACTATAAAACAATATTTAATAAAAAACCCAATAACCAATGATGTTCACTATAAAAGACTATCTGATTAACATATATTTTTACTTTTAATTTATTATATTCACATAATATAATCATATTTTTGCAGGTAAAAGTATTTCTAACTCAGGAGTCAAAAAAAACATTCAGCTATTCTTCTGAATGCAAAAGTTTGAGTCAACATAATAACTTCTATAAATTAATGACAACTGGCTTACAGACATATACACTTATATATATTTATAAATATATATATAAATCATTTAACAAGAAGTATATTTCATGTTTTACATAAACATTTTTAAATAACGATAGCTTTCCCAATTTAAAAACTACAATAAACTTATATAAACTATGGTAAGTATATAGTAATTATTTCAGCTTACTAATGGGTTCAATATATTCAAAATATTTTGAGATAAAAACAGGGAACAGTTCAAATTCTTTTATTATAAATAGTATCAGGAAATCAATTAGAAGGATGCAGATTCAAATCTAAACAATGATATCTATAAATTATTCACAAATAGGTCATTAAAATAATAGAGAAAACTAAGAGAAAGACAGTATGAGAAGAGAGATGATGTAATTGATGAATCTGAGGGACGTATACACAGAAGGTCACAGGACTACTGAAACTCTTCTGTAAATTTTAATTTTTCAATGAAATTCTCAAAAATTCACAGAAAATATTAGAAAGTACATATTGTCTTGGTTTTTCAAAGGGAAAAAATCCAACCTTGTTAGAGTACACAAAAATATGTCCTCCTTTAAACTTTAGATTTGAAAGTAGAAAAAAAAAGTAGACTCTCTTTCTAAAACTCTGAACCTCCAACTCCACCCCACTACCTAAACCATCTTGTCCAGCTAAAACTTTGACCATATGGACAAGTTGTGGCATAGCATGTCTTCAATCCCAACACTCAGGAGGCAGAAGCAGGCTTATCACTATGAGTTTGAAGCGAGCCTTTTCTACATAACGAGTTCCAGACCATACGGGGCTTGGGGGAAAAAAATAGACCTCTACTTTGAAGCATAAGGTTCATTTGGGCAAAGTGTAAGTTTTAAATACAATTATTAACAAGAATAAAAAAAGTGGTCCCTCAATGAAAAGCACATTCATTCTAAAATACCCATTTTGATTCAAATAAAGAAAAAATTATCCAGCTCCAACATTTGTTTGGAGTGTTTTTACTAAATCCCAGATCTCCCTATCCAGCAGAGACTAGCCTGGATTTGCAGGCCTCCTGCTTCTGTTTCCAAGGACTACACCACACATGCCTCTGTGACTGACAAATACAGCCCACTAGCAAATGAACAGAGAGGCTGCACATTTTATACCAAGGGGCACTGGTTTGAATAAGATCTCCCCCATGGCTCAGGCATTTGAATACTCAATGTCCAGGTGGTGCCTGGCTTAGTTTTAGGCGGTGTGGCCTTGCTGGAGAAAACATTTCACTAACTCACCGGCCTTAATGGTTAAAAAAGGGTGACACCATTCTGAGTTGGCTCTCTGATTGCCTGGTTATGGTCTGGAATGTGAGCTTTGAGCTCCTCCTGCCACCACATCTGCTGCCTGCTGCCTGCTGTGACGATGATGGACTCTTATCTTTCCAAAACCATAAGCCCAAAATAAACCCTTCCTTCTGTAAGTTGCCTTCGTCATGGTGTGGAACCACGGCAGTAGAAAACTTACTAATATACAAGGTTTTCTTCATATGTTAATCTGAAAATTGAATGTTATTATTCTACAATCATTTCCATTGAGTCTACAATTGTGATTATATATATATATATATATATATATATATATATATATATCATAATAGTAAAGAATTCTACTTTTTATAGACTACATCTGGATTCTTTGTTCACCACGACATCTCACAGGAACTCTAAGTTTAAATATTTCTTTTTCAACTACCAACAGCTCAAATCACAACACTTTGCAGGAAGGAACTATGAATCTAGCAAGATCATCACAAAACTAAAACCCTATTTCCGGCTTATTGTTTCCACTGGGATAGGTAGGACCTGCAATTAGCAGATATCCCCATTCCTCAAAAGGAATTAGGAAAATAAATTTTATACAAAACTTCTAAAAATATATAAGGTTAACAACATCTTTTAAACTTTTTAAAATACCCAGTGGCCCAACAAAACTCTATAACTTCTTCCCCAACTACAATTTTGCAACCTTTGCCTTAAAACAGAAATTCATTCACAAAAACCACACAAGCATCAATGACAGAAAAGAGCATATGTTAATTTTATTAAATGTTATCCTATTTACCCACATCATAACTCACATTAATATTTAATTTTCAGTGATAAATCCATAACATCTTATCTTTAAAATATTTAGTTCTTTTAAGAAATTTTCTAATGTTATTGGTAAACAATTTATCCTGTATGTGGGGATTATTTCTTACTTTGTTCGATTTAGACTGAACAAGCAAAGAAAATAAACAAAATATAAGAATTTATTTTGTTTTGATTTTTTGAAATCCCAAGCATAATACAGCAGAAAAGCAAGATAATTTATTCTAAAGCCAAGTTTTTATTATAATTACTCACCTAAGAATACATAAACAAATTCTGCCTCCTGATGTGAGTCTGCAGAACCCAAATCTCTGCTTACTTTCAATGTCTGTCAGTACGAAGGTAAAGTGCTGTCCAACTTGATTCTGAGATGCCCTAAGATATAACAACATCGCAACATTAAATCTGTGCTCATTTTCTTGAAGATAAAAAGGCTTGACTAGTATTCACATTGGCTTTGCCTTTCCAGTACTGGGTTCTAGAAGCTGGAATGATGTTCTATAACTAAAGGGTCATGAATCTGTATATCAGCTCATGAGTCATGCGTCAAGCATCACAAGAGGTTCTAACATCTCACAGGTAGAGCATGTCAATACAATCAAATGGCTCACTTGGAAATCAATGCTCATCCTACATTTTCAGAAGAGTAAGTTCCCCATAAAATACATTATGAGGTTGGAGCCATGGTTACTCACTCTGCAGAAAAATCAACAGATTCAGTCACTACACTCATCTCTAGCCTCTCTTGTCTAAGTTATTCTACTTTTCCCAAATTTTAATTGCTTGGTTAGCAAATCATGTTGCTTCATCCACTGAGGGTGACAACCATCATGTTGAATTGCTTCTTCTATGGACATTCTTACCCAATATAGTACACCACACCAAGCACTACTGGTATTTTTCTTAGCATTATCTTTTAGAATCATCAATAAGCTGAAGAATCAAACACCAACTCAAAAGTATACACTTCCTACTAAAGAAACCTACTAGGTTATCTGTAAAAAGTTTTACCTGATTTTGAAATAAGTAAAATAGAACCTATGACATATCCCACTTCAGCATAAGGGGTGGGTGATGTAAGTTACTAGACAAAATGCTTACCTCTGTTTAAAATGTATCAATATACTTCTATATTCCATATGAGATACTGGCTCATAAAACCAGACTAGAACTTGAGGATCTTTGTCCCAAGATAAATATTGATGACATATAAATTTGGTTTTAAAGTATTCATATGGATATTGAAAAGTTGAAAAAATTACTACCAGTGTTCTAAAACAGTAAATTATTTTGTCACAAAACACCAGTTATTAAACAAGTATACATCAAAATGGTCGGGGCAAGTACACATTTAAATGGACAGGGATTTTTCTAGTTTTATAAACTTCAAATAAATCCTCCAGTGATTAATGTATCCTCTAGTGTTTAAGATTTATAATTTCCTCTTGCAGTTTTTCTTCCTTTATTTTGTTCTTACTATTGATTTAATACTATAATTTTGGAGTAAGACAGATTAACTAATTCTCTAGAAACTTAAGAAAATAATTTTATCAGCAATATTTATTAGTATTAACTAGAATATTATTACATCACTTTACGATCTATACACTAAAATTTCAGTGTTATTCACTAATCCTTAGCACAGTATCTTCCTAAAATAAATTTTCTTTTAAAAATTTTTTATAGTACACTCAAATAAAACTAATAATAGTGATAAATCACATAAAAACAATAAATGTCATTATGTCCAGAGATGTCTATTATACTAAATTCCAACTGCATACAGAAGTTCACTTAGTATTTGCAGTGAAACATAAACACAATGAAAATTTCAAAGCTACTGGGGAAGTTTCCCACAGCCACAGCAGTAATGCACTGTTCTATGCTGCTGTTCTTGCGAGACAACTAACAGTGAGTTCACAACATCACACAGATGCTCTTCCAATTAGGATGAACTGGTAGTGAAAACAGGGTGCATACATCTAGTTTTAAAAGACCAACTGAAGGCCCTGATCAAAGACCAATGACATTTTTTTTCTGCTAGTACTTACAATCTATACCTGAAGAATAAAAAGAAAAAACATAACCTGTGGCCAACATTACTTTAAGATGTCCTCACTGGCCATGGCCGAGGAAGTAAAAGAATAATCTGAAAGGCATTATTTAATTATCTAATTCTGAACCTCACATCACCAGTGTTTCAATTGGAAGAAAAAAAAAGAAAGTATATGTCATTTTCTTAAAATGTATATTTAATCACTGTGAAATGCATGCTAAGAAAAATAAAGTTATCTTAATTATTAACTTATACTGTACCTTTCCACGTCAAAGGGAAAACAGAACTTGGGCACGCTCTGCAGTACTTCCTATAAATGCAAATTCAAAATAAAGAGGATGCTTTAGAATGTTTTTTTTAATGCAGTTAAAAGTTTCTTTGGGACATTTTCAAGGGGTGGATGAAGTATTTTTAAGACAAAGGCTCGGGTTCTCCGACTAAAATAATTGATTATTAAAAAGGAATTAAGTGTGTGCTTTGGCAGATTGCACCGACAAAGCCCGGAAGCCCCGGGAGGGCAAGGCCTGGCCTGAAGGGTATTAACACCCTTCGCATCCCTGCTGGGATCCCCTTCAACAAGGCCAGATGGATCTCACAAGAAGCACCACACCATATGGGCAAGCTGTGTCTGCTGCTACTTGTACCACAGGCTAGCCACGGGGACTTTTCACAGATTCTGGCTCTAAAATATAAATGTTGTTTCAATTAAAATGCAGGCAGAGAAAAGGGAATGAAGTTGGCAGCAGAATGAATTGCTGCGAAGGATAACGACTCTGCATGTCCCAAACGCCAACGCTTTTTTTAAGTTAAAAGACTTTGTATAGATTCTAAAATATACTTTTACAGGTTTAAACACATGGTGTTAAATTTATTTCAAATAGCCCTCTTAAATGCATGTTTTAAAATAAGTCTCTATTATAATATAGTTAAATATTAAAATATTAAGTAATTAGATATGAAAAATCAATGTTTTACTAAAACAGACAATAATCTTATTAAAAATTTAGAAAATATATTAAAATCCAAAAAATGCAAACTGTCAGACAGTTGGAAAAATAAGAAAAAATGTACTTTGATGTATCTGAGTAATACATCAAAATTTAACTTTTTATCTAAGGTCCCACCTATAATTACAGATATCATAAAAGATATAATAAGGATCTCATAAAGGAGCAGAAACTAAAGACAATGCCTATTAAGAAGCAAAGGAGCAAATATCTTAACGAAGCAGTAACTTCCACAAATGCCTTTTACCAGTAAAATCAGACTGATCCAAATGCATAAAGCTTCTATAGAAGTACACTATTAAGTATTTTTAAGAGAATTTCTTAATTAAAAAAAAATTGGCAATTATTAGTTTAAAATAAATACTGTAGAAATCCAATAGCAATACCTAAGAAAGCTTCAAGAGAATAAATTCACAGAAGCATAAAGAAAAGCATCATATTAAGGGGAAAAAAAGCATGCTAGCCTTAGGGCAAGTATGCAGGCCTGCTTTTGAGTGTGTACCATTAAAAGTTTGAGCACAGACCCATGCTTAGAGAAAGTTACCTTACTCTTTACAATATCTTGCTAACTGTAATTAAAGAAATCACTAGACATGAAATAAATGACTAAAAATGTAGCTTATTACAAATGAGGGCAGTTGTTTTCATTTGACTGTTGCTTAATTGTTACCTTGTGTCATATAACGTGAAGTCATTTACCATATTTACTACACCTATAAAGAGCAGTAAGATAAACTCTTGCAAAACTCTCCACATAATTCAGAAACAGTAAAAAGCATCCAAAGTCAATGTCTACCACTGAATATATATAAATTAGCTGTATATTTCACATCAATTTTTATGTTCAAATTAAGGAGGAAGCCTCTTACTTAGTTGCTTAATCTTTCACAAACACCCTCTCTTCTCCATAAGCAACATGCATGCAACACACTTCTGCAAAACAGCCTCAGCTCGCTTCCCAACTGGCAGCAGCATCCCTCAGGGGACAAGTCTTTAAACCTCTTCACTCTTTAAAATTCAACCAGCCAGCAGGTCTATAGACAAGTGTATAAACAGTATGGGGGGGGGGGCTCCTCTCAGCTTCTGTCAGCGACAGAGCAGCTATGCCTTTGACTGTTCCCTGACAGGATAAGCAGGGTGCACAAAGATCAATAGCTGAAGTCCTCCTAGCTCCTAGGACTTCTTTTCTTCTTTAATTACAGGTGCAAACTAGAGTTATTTTAAAGGGGTGGGGCTGAAAAGAGGAAAAAAGCATTCAGACAGCTTTTGTTCCTTGAGTTATTTTAATAATAGTGATAAATGAAAATTATACTTCTACATATATTAGCGATAAGTGTGAGGTTTTATATTCCCATTCTGTCTTCCTCTGTGTCTCTCTTCTTCTGTCTCTCTCTGTCTCTCTCTCTCTCTCTCTCTCTCACACACACACACACACACACACACACACACAGAGTTACTTCTAGATATGTATTCACAGGTTAGTTAGGTTTGCCATACTGCTGACCACAAACAAGGTAAGTTTCCTGTGGTACCAAAGGATTTTGTTTCTACAGAAATTCCCTTAACCAAGAAAAATTTGAGTTTCAGAATATTCCTAATAAAAATGTTACTCTCACACAAAAACATCATAATTGCTAACACATGTCAAAGATAAAAACAGAAATAACAAAAGGAACGGACTAGAATATGAAATTATCCAGAGCAAGTACCAATGGGCAATAATGGATATTTTATACATGCTCCAAAATAGGACATCTAACTATCATATTAATGACTGGAAATAACTCATGGAAACTTCTTTACTGGGTGCTTATCCCACAGCATGTAGCTCACCTATAGTAGTGATCCTCAACCTTCCTAGTGCTATGACCATTTAATACAGTTCCTATGTTGTAGTGACCCCCAACCATAAAATTTTTTCGTTGCTACTTCATAACTGTAATCTTGCTGCTGTTATGAATCGTAATTTATGTGCAAACCCTGTGAAAGGGTCATTTGACCTCCAGCTTGAGAATCATTGACCTACAGCTTTGTGAAAGGGAAGAGTAAATGTTAGTATTAGATGGAGAGTCCACTCAACCCAGAAAGCTGCCATGCAGCATCTTAGAAGAAACAAACACTTAAGAAAAAATCTGCTTTAATATTCTAAAATCCACACTGACAGTGGTCTCAGAACTGCTTTGGGAAGAGTGGAAGATGAAACACATCATTTCTGGAACCTACTTCCCCTTCCACTTTGCCCAGCACTTCCTCCTGAACAAATGCAAGTGCTTACTGAAACGCTGTACTTCCCTCTTTCTTGTTCTGCATAGGAAATCTAATCTACACCAATGACTTCAACTTTATGTATTCCAACTTCTTACAGCTTAGGCAGTTTTATGAAGTCCACAATTGTCTCTATCTATTACCTACTTTCCTATATCATTTTCTGAATAGCCCAACACCTCACATCTACGATGTTTACAACTGAAGTTGTTGCCAGAGTTACAACCCTTAACATCTACAGTGACATGATCCTCTCCAAAGACACACAAACCAAAAATATGGCAATCAGTTATACCCTTCCTCTCCCCCTGACTCTCATATATAACCAATCATTCACCAAGGCCATTAATTAAATTTCATTATTATCTTGCTTTCCATAGCTGCACTGAAAAGACCCTCTTTCAGTTAACCTCTAAACCTCCATTCCTGAGACTTTATCTATGTGGACAGAAATACCCACAACTGGGAGAGTTGCAGTGGAATGGTTGGGTCTCCTCCTCTAAGGGTCAAAAGACCCGATTTGAAAGTTTCCAGTGGGTAATCACTGCTCCTCTAATTAACACTATAATAAGTGATCCTAGAACAGAGTTCAACAACAGACTAAGTAATAATAAGGACCAGTTGAACTCTCCTAAGCAAAGAGATGATGCAGATACAGTGAGGGACTATTTAACTCAACATCTCCCTCCAGGAATTAGGGATTGTCTCTCCTAGTCTACTCTACTAAGCATGCTGGCTTTTGTCCTTTCCATGCGATTGTAGAATGAGTCATAAGCATTCAGCACTTACAGAAGGACACAGCAGCAATAACCAGTATCCAGTGAAGAAAGCATCTCTACGCTCCAGAAGCCTACCATGTGGCATCTAACTAGGGCCAGAGCCACAACCCCGTCCCGAACTAATCATGGAAGGGAGACAGTTCTATGAGCCTTGCCACAGACATGCTCAGAACAACCAGAATCCAGATTCATTTGCTTTCAAATAAGATCTTGACACAAATAATTATAAAGATATCTTAGCAAACTAATGTTCATAAGGCTCTCCACAATAATAGCATAGAAATAACAAATTTACACTAAAGTTTTAATGTACATATAAGCAGAGTATTATATGAGGGTCATTCTCAAACATTCATAATTGTATTTTATGGGAAAAAAAACACTTCCAGAATCAGTTTTACAACAACAAAAGTTCTATTTAGCAATTTTAATTCAAATTTTTCAAAAAGGACATAGTTTTCTAAAGACAATATTTAAATATATTAAGTAAATATGAAATAATTACATGTAACCATTCCATCTATTTGTGCTTTATATAAGGGAGCAATAAACTCTACCAAAAAAAAAAACAAAAACAAAAACAAAAAAAAAACAAAAAACCATGCACAACTCAGCCACAGCAGTTTGGGTAACAGAACTGAGCTCGAGCCCCACAATGTCCCCTAAGATGTAGCAGTGCATCTCAGAGAACTGCCAGGAAAACTGACGGCCACATTCCACATTCCATCTTCAAAGGGAAGACAGGCAGGCAGTATCCAGTGATGCAATCAGGACACACCTTACCACCAGAGAGGCTATAGGAAATGACAGAGAGCCTGAGAGCATGTCTACACATCAGCTCTTGTAAAAAGTGCTTTAAACTTATGGAGTCTATTGAAAACTTAAGAGAGAAAAATAAAATAAGTAGGATAACTGAGCCCATATGATATTTTTCCTCTTGGTTTTCACATTTTTCTGTTTTTTTTTTTAAATTAGAAATTAAAATCATTTTTACCCCTTCTCAAGTCAGAGAAGACACACTAATTCTGTGTGTTTTCATATTAATATTGTTTAGACAGTTAAGCTAATTAACTTCACTATCAAAAATTCAAAACAAAGTTTTATCATTAGAAGATTTCAGAACGTCCATGAAGCAGATGCAGCCAGTGAGGAGCGCTGTGCAGAATGATTTTAGAAAGACGTGCTGGTAAGATTCTGTCAACTTGACAAAGCTGGGGCCATCTGGAAAAGGGAACAGGAATTGAGAAAATGCCTGAATA